AATCGACTGCCTCCTCTATTGCACAAAAAATTGAAGATGATCTCAAACAAGTTGCATCCATACTTGCCCCACTTGGTTCTTTTCCTAAGCCTAATAAAGTAATCCGTCTTGGCAACTCGAAACCCAATGTTGTACGTCCTCTTAAGATTATTTATGACAATGAAGCCAGTGTTAAAGATGTTCTTCGCTCAAATAAGATCAATCCGAATCGTAAATACCATTTTAGGCCGGATCTAACTAAACTACAACGCGACTATAATAATAAAGTTAGGGATGAATTTCATGACAGACTTTCTAAAGGTGAATCTGATGTAGCTTTAAAATATAAGGACAATCTACTTCATATTACTAAGAAACGGTTTTCTGTGGATCTTTAAAAAAAGTAATAAATTTTTATTATTACAATGCTGGCGGTATTAGGTCAAAATTGAAAGATTTTTCTCTTAATGTCAATTCTAGTGTATATGATGTGCTTATTATATCTGAGTCTTGGCTTTGTCAAAATATCTCTAATGAGGAGCTTAATTTAAACAATTACAATATTTTTCGGGCTGATCGCAACTCTAATACCAGTAAAAAGTTTGTGGGGGTGGTGTGTTGATTGCAGTAAAAAAGGATTTTAGGGCATCTGTGATTTTATCTGGTCGGTTTGTGGAAAGTATTTATATTAATTTTAAACACAATAATTTAGATCTTATAGTTGGTGGAGTTTACATTCCGCCTGCATCGCATTTGAATGTTTATGAAAATTATTGTTCTGATTTGGAGTGTATTTTTGAAAAATTTCCTAATTCCTCTTATATTATAGCTGGTGATTTCAATCTCCCTCTTTCAAACTGGAATAGGAATGATATGCAGTTTAACTCATTTGGTAATTTTCGGGAATATTGTGAGGTAATTTGTTTAACTGCTGCATTTATGAACATGCAACAAGTTAATAGTATTCCAAATTCCAGAGGTGTTTATCTTGATCATATTTTTTCTAATATAGTGAATATAGATATTTGCCATGCAATAGACCCTATATTTTCTGAAAGTTTTCATCATTCTCAGTTATCGTGGTTTGTATCTTCTGTTGATCTTCCTACCTTATATTATGAATCTCGTATTTTTGACTTTACTAATGGTGATTATAATATGTTAAATGAATTTTTTGCTTCAGTTCATTGGGATTCCTTATTAATTAGTCATGACTTGGATGAGAATATTTCAACTTTTTATAATATTCTATTTTATGGTTTTGAGAGATATATTCCATATAAAGTTGTAAAATATAGTCCTTCTAATTACCCAAAGTGGTTTACTTTGGAACTAAAAGATCTATGTCGAAGGAAGAGTGAAGCACATTACAAATATAAAAAATCAGGCAAATTAGGTGACTATCTCTATTTCAAATCTTTGCGATCTCAATGCAAAGAGCTTAATCAACAGCTGTATGCTGATTACATTGTTAAGGTAAATTTAAGTATCTCAAGTGATCCCAAATTTTTCTGGAAGTTCGTTCGGGACAAGAAGGCGAATGATGGTATTCCTGATGAAATGATACTTGGACAGCAATCGGCAAAAAAGGGTGAAGATATAGCTAATCTCTTTGCGGATTATTTTGCTTCGGTGTATGTTAAGGATGACTCTAGAAAATTTATGTGTGATTTTGAGGTGTCACCTCAGGTTCATGATGTAGGTTTAAATATCACACTAACCGATGTTTTTGATCATATATCTGATTTGAAATCGTCTTGCAATCCTGGTCCTGATGGTGTACCTAGCATAGTTATAAAAAATTGTAAATTTACTCTTTCGTTACCTTTGCTAAATTTATTTAAATCCTCATTGAAGGAAGGAATTTTCCCGGAAATATGGAAAAGAAGTTTCGTAATTCCAATTTTTAAATCCGGTCAGCGTAATAAAATTGACAACTATAGGGGTGTATGTAATCAATCTGCAATTTCTAAATTACTCGACGGTATAGTATCCAAACAGTTACAGTGGAGTTCCTCTTCGGTTATTTCGTTTAAACAACATGGATTCTGTGTTAATAGATCTACGCTTTCAAATTTGTTAGAATATCAATCGTTCTTAAATGAGGCCTTCACGGATAGATGTCAAGTTGATTCGGTATATACTGATTATGCCAAAGCTTTCGACAGAGTAAATCATAGACTGCTTATTATGAAATTGCAAAGATTAGGTTTTAAGGATCTATCGATTAAATGGTTATCGTCTTTTCTGTTGGGTAGAATGCAACAAGTTCGCATTGGGAATTGCTTTTCTTCCTTCTTTAATGTTCCGTCAGGTGTCCCGCAGGGCACCCATTGTGGTCCTATCCTTTTTTTATTATTTGTGAATGATGTGACTCAATGCTTTAATTATTCGAATTACTTACTATATGCTGATGACCTAAAGCTTTTTAAAAATATACGATCGGTTCAAGATGCAGTGCAACTTCAGGTAGACCTAGATTCACTTGGCGAATGGTGTGATAACAATTGGCTCCCTTTGAATATTAAAAAATGTTATGTTATATCATTTCTTAATTTAAAATCTCGTATTGAGTTTAACTATCAAATTAACTGTCATGCTGTTACTCGTGTTTTTGAGATAAAGGATTTGGGTGTGATATTTGACTCGGGTCTCACATTTAAGAATCATTATGGTTATATTTTTAATAAATCCTTAAACATGTGGGGTTTCATTTGGCGTAATTGCAAAGATTTGTCAGCGTCAGCATTGAGAATTCTGTATTGTTCGTTAGTACGGTCACATTTGGAGTATTGCTCCTCTGTTTGGTGTCCAATTTATAATGTAGACTCTTTATTACTGGAAAAGGTTCAGAAGAAATTTCTTAGAACAATTGAGTTTAAGATGGGACATAGACATGTTAGAGGTGAATATAGTTGGATAATGAGTTGATTCAACATTCAGGAACTAGGCATACGGAGATCTATTAATGACGCGCATACACTTCACAACATTATCAATGGCCGTATTGATAATTCTGAATTACTAAGGAGATTGACATTTTTGGTACCGGCATCAGGAAGCTGCACTACTCGTAGCAGAAATATATTTAGAATTCGATTGGCAACATCAAATTTAGCAAAAAATCATCCTTTGCGAAGAATGATGGGCGCTGCTAACCGCTATACAAATGATGATAAAGTTGAGATCTTCAATTCTTCAGTGTCTAAGTTCAGGAAGCAAATGTTAAAGTACTTCGGTTGTTAATGATATGAGGTGGTTATTAGTATACATGTATATATATATTTAGTTAATTATGTTTAAGAGTGTAATTATTTTTTTTGTAAGTGGGGTTTTCCCGTTAATAAACTAAACTAAACTAAACTAAACTGCAAACCAATTATAATGACACTTCCTTGCTAAAATAAAAAAGTGTTGCCAAATTTAGCTTCTCCTTGCGCCGACTTCGCAGTAGTCAGTTTATGGTAAACAGTCCAGTCGTCGCATCCATAACTCCTCATTAACTTATCTCGTTGGTAGCGCGCGGTCGTTGTCCACCGGCCTCCACATCTTCCTCTACGACACTTGCTCGACCCGCCATTTTAAGACATTCCATCCTCGGCCAGGTTCAAGTCCTTCATGCTAATTACACGCGAATAACAAGACAACAGCGGGAGTCATACTACGACACTTACCCACTTTATCATTTTATGCGGACGACACGAATCGTCCCATTGCCATCGCCTTATCCAGGCTGGAAGACAAAAAGATCCATTTCTCGGTCGCCCGAATTGCAGGCGCTGAAAAATGATTGTGTCAAAACGTAATCTAAATACATGTACGGTGTAAGCAATAAAATTTTATACCCTCGCAAATTTCGTTCCGCGAACCTGCGGAACGGGTTCCAACGTGCGCAAAAGCTAATTTGGACGGTTCGGTTTGGGCCGCGGTGGTTCGACGAAAATGAATTTATTGTTTGTGTTTTTTTGACCTAATTAGGCGATCGGATGATTCAACAAGACGTGGGTGGGACGAAAAGGATTTTTCTAGCTTTGACTACGTATTTGTTTGTATATTTGCTCTAGGTGGTCCAAAAAAAGCTCTTAATAGCTTGTCAAGGATCGTCTCAAAGTCGTTCGAGCTAACGGTGTGCCGCGACTTTTCCGCCCATTTAAAATGGTCCAGCGCCCAGTTAACGCTCCTTAAGTCTACCATTATTTATAGTGACAATAAAAAACGCCTGTAATTGGTTTGTGTAAGAAAATGATTTTTACAGCCTCCGGCGAAGCAGAACTAGTTATTACCTTCGAAAAAATCCGCTATAAATATTAATTTCCCCCTTACACCATGGTAATTCAATTAATGCGATAGTAAACAATAAAACTTGCAGCAAGTCGAGTGGATCTCGTCGACGCTATCCGTTTTTCCCGATAAAGACCGTTTTTACGTGCCGCAAACATGCAGCGCTCTTATCTTCCGCCTAGTTCTCCAACAGATCGTATTTTTCCCGCGTCGATCCGAGCGCTCGTTAGAGCCCAAACTAATGGTCTTTCAAATTTATCTACGCTTTTAGTACCTCCACCAGGTGCAAATTTGAATGCCGGATGATTAATGGCCGAAATCGTAATTGTGATTAATTAACGCTGAAAGGCTCACGTGCGATTTGCATAATGGCCGGGTGACGATGATTGCGCCGCTTTTCGCGAACAGCAGAGGTCTCCGAGAGCCGCCATGAGGGACGCCCGCTTTTTGCGTTTGCGTTTCCGAACCTTCATGGTGCGTTTGCTAGATTCGAATTGGTCGAAGGTCGCGCTGGGATTGATTAATTGTGTTCGTCGGCATTGTGTTGCGATTTTTCCGACGAAAAGGGCACCACGCGGTGGTGGAAGGTCAGGAAAGATTCGTTGGGTACTCACGTGCGGCGGCGGGGACGGCTCGCAGCGGAATGACGGTGGACGTGTTAATGCGATGGAAGTTTTTGTTCGGAATTAATAACGTTAAATAAATGTTTACCGGGTTAAGTGAAGCAAGGTGCTCATCACGCGTCGAAAATTAGCGTTTTATTGCCGCTAATTTTCGATAATTTTCTCGGGAAGCTGTAATTACGCGACGGCTCATTGTAGTTCACGGGTATAAAAGGGTGATAAAATTTGTGGGGAGACGAAGAGAGCAGAATGAAGTTTCTCGTGGTTTGCAGTTTCCTGGTTTTGGTGGTGATGATGGTGAGATTTTTTGTAGTTTGGTTTATGGGTTGCTGTTATTTTTTTTTAGGGGAGCGAAGCAACCCCGCAATCATCTCAGGCTGGGGGTGAGGGTCAAGCAGGAGGCTCTGCAGGACTAGGAGGTAGTATTGGATTGGACGCGGGTGTAGGAGGTGGTCTTTCAGGATCTGGTGGTGCTGGTGCCTCTGGGAAAGCTAACTTTGACGGTAAAGCTGGTGGCAATGTTTAAAAGGTCCACCAATGATTTTTTCTGGCGTTGTTGATGACGAGCATTAAACCTTTATTCCTATTATGAGAAATTTGTGTTTTATTTTTTGCTCTTTGAGCAACAATTTTGAAAATTTTATCAACTTGTTTGTAAACTGTACAGTGATGAGGCCAACTTTCATGACTAAACACGTTGCCATTTTTTTAACTGCTACCGTTCTATGTTTAAATTTGTCACTATTCAACACGTTCATCAAATATGCGGCAGCTTGTGTGGTTTATTATAAGATAATGATGAAAATGCGTTTTCGATATTATTACGCTTGGAAATTGTCCTTTAAAATGCCTAAATTTTTTCGCAAGGGTGGCATAAGTCAAATAAATATAAACTAGGCAGAATAGTAAAACCGATAATTCAAAACTCAACGTCAGAATAGTTGAACCCCCGCTTTTTTGCCCTTATTTTTTTTTGGAATCTCTGAAATTTGTGTTGGTGAATTTTAGAGGTCCATGTTTTCTGCTTTGGAAGTACTTTTGCTATCAGCCTGAACAAACATAGACATAATATACATAACCATTATTTTCATAAAAAGTGTTGCTAAGACAACGAAGGCACAGGCAAATTTACTAATTTTTATTTTATATTTGAGTTCATGCTTAGGCTTGTATGTACATCTAGATTTTATTATGCAGAGGAAAACATTTCATAATTGAAAATCGCATTTTAATACAAAATGTATAAAAAAAGTGCATCTGCGTAATTCATGGTATGTTAATGATATAGATGAGGTATGTATTGCTTTGTGAATGCATGAATTATGTGTTGTTAAGTTCATAATTGCACATAAAATTACCCCATTATTCTGATACTTCTACTTTAGTGCTTATGGGCTTATATTGTCGGTATTAGCAGACAAAGAAATAGTTCACATATTTGTGTAAAACGGACTCAGTAAAATGTAAAAAAAAAACTCTAAGTTGGTGATTTTGAAATAAACACTAATAATAAACATTGATACAGTGTGATTTACGAAAGTCAGTGAAGTCTGTTAGGTACATATTAGATTCAGTTACCATTTTCCCTCTTTTATTACCAGACTTCGGCATCGCGGAAGTGATGCATATTGCCGTCTGATCACCAGCGCTATTGCAGTTGTGGCCTACTATGAACCCTAACAACTAAATATTGGGACGATAATAAATTTTTATAAAAAAATCACCAAACTTTTTAACAAAAATGTAATTTATTTTAGATAATTACAATTTTAAAATTAATTCGTTTTTCAAAGTTGTTAATGCTTACAGCACGATAAATGCTGATTTCTAACTCAAACAGTGAGATAAAACTCTAAAACAACGTAACATTTTGTGACACATAAATATTGGGACAAAGCAAATTCAGTAACCGGTCACATCTCCTTTTGCCTTAATAACTGCAGGAAATCTTGCTATCATACTTTCAACAAATTTTCTGCGATACACAGGAGTTATTATCGTATGGCACACTCGCTAAATTTCCTATTGAAGATTAACAATCGCTTGTCACGGATGATTTCCTAAATATTTTTTTATTTCACCCCATACCGTCTCTACTAGATTAGGATCTGGGCTATTCGATGGTCAGGGCAATACATTTATATTATTATTCTTTCTAATAGGTGTTGTAGGTGTGTAACTTGAAGCATCATCGTGTTGAAAAATATAAATACCACGAGGATATATTGCTTCAATAGTTGTTAATATTTTTTTACAAAGAGTCTTGACATTTGTTTGCGTTTGTAATTTCCCTTCAATGAACGTTGTTAACTGGTCTTTAAATTCCATTAATAGACATACACCCCCAAACCATTTTTCCGCTTGCAAACTTGACTGTTTGTTTGAGATATTCCATATTAAAATTCCGTTTTTGTTTTAATAACTCTTTTGCGAATATTATCTCACCTAGACATCAAATTTGGAGTCAGCTTTAGATATTACTTTTCTCCTATTTTTATTTTGGCCATATTAACCGATTTTCTTGTGGGTAGTTGCTAATTGTGGTTTTACTTTAGCCTAAAATAATATAAATAAATAATAAAGCCTATCAAAGATAGCTTTATTTAAGATTTACAATGTAAAAACCAAGGCCTGATTTGTGTATCCATTCGCGACAATATTTTCTTGAAAAATTTTGTTGGTTATCGCTATTCCACCGAGTAGTAATTTCTCTTGAGGTACTCTGTCGTCCGCTTTTATAAAATTTCATTAATTGTCGGTAATCACGCGGCTTCATAACTGGTGGCCTACCGGGAATTTTCCCTTTTATTACTTCCCGAGCGTAAGCAAAGGAAGTATTGTAATCGAGTCCGTCGGCCGACTCTCTACTTTTACGTTTTCTCGATCTTTCATGACCCCTAGAAGACGAAGAAATAGGTCTCCCATTGCCGTCTGTCTGTCCGTCTGTCCGTCTGTCCGTCTGTCCGTCTGTCCGTCCGTCTGTCCGTCCGTCTGTCCGTCTGTCCGTCCGTCTGTCCGTCTGTCCGTCTGCCGTCCCGGATTTTTATTAGACAGATAATCTCCGAAAGTACTCGACCGATTGTTGTGAAATTTTGTACTTATATTAAGAATATCATGTAGATGGTAAAACGCTAACCAAAATTTGTCTAATCATCCCCACCACTAATGCGATGACGTCACTTCAAAATTGTACATAGTAAATGGGTTTTCAATTGTATAAAATAACATAGTCCTACACATGTAGTTTACAACTCTGAATCGACTTTTCACCCGAAACGTCCAGATTTTTGGAAAAAAAATCAAAATTATAAAACAACATTTTGAAATTTAATTTTTAATCTGCTAACCAGAATGCTTTGAAATCTTGCAGATGTTTTAAGGCTATAAAGAGCATAATAAATGTTTAGTCAAAATATATTTGCTTATCCCCTCCAAAAAATTGATGACGTCAGCTCGAAAGTTTGCCAAATAAATCCTATCCAAACTGTAAAAATATGATGAGTCTGTACTTGTAATTTATCACTCCATTCATATTTTTTGGATTTGCATATACAGGGTGACTCAAAAAAATTAATGAATGCGTAAATATATTTTATTGATTTAATCAGGAACTACAAAACGGAATGCTCTGACATCTTGCAGATGTTTTAAGGTTATAAAGAGCATAATAAATGTTTAGTCAAAATATATTTGCTTATCCCCTCCAAAAAATTGATGACGTCAGCTCGAAAGTTTGCCAAATAAATCCTATCCAAACTGTAAAAATATGATGAGTCTGTACTTGTAATTTATCACTCCATTCATATTTTTTGGATTTGCATATACAGGGTGATTCAAGAAAATAAATGAAAGCGTAAATTTATTTTACTGATTTACTCAGGAACTACAAAACCGAATGCTTCGAAATCTTGAAGACATTTTAAAATTATCATAAGCATGGTAAATTTTTGATCAAAACGTATTTGGTCGTCCCCCCTAAAAAATTTATGATGTGACCACAAAATTTTGCTGAAAAAATCCTATCTAAAATGTACAAAATATGGTGAGTCTCTTCTTGTGATTTATCATTCCATTCATATTTTTGGATTTGCATATGCAGGGTGACTCAAAAAAATTAATGAAGGCGTGAATTTATTTTATCGATTTAATCAGGAATTACAAAACCGAATGCTTTGAAATCTTGGGAATATTTTAAAGTTATTATAAGCATGGTAAACTTTTGTTCAAAATGTATTTGTTCATCCCTCCTAAAAAAATTGATGACGTCACCCTTAAATTTTGCTGAATAAATCCTATCTAAAATGCAAAAAATATGATGAGTTTGTACTTGTGATTTATCATTCCAACCATATTTTTTAGATTTTCTTAAGAGGTGATTCAAAAAAATTAATGAAGTCAATTTATTTTATTGATTAAATTAAAGGCAACACTTATTATTAGTATTACACCCCAACCAACCCAATTTGGTAGACACAAAATTTGTTAAAGGAAAAACTCGGTTGAAACATAAGGGTAGCACGCTTATTTACATCGACTTTAACATTACAGACCTGCATTTGTTTTATGCGTTCACTTGATTCCGCGAATGTGAAATAGACATGTTTATAATCAACCAATTGTGAATTTCACCGTCAAGAATTAAAATAAAACCCAATGTTTTATATAATAAGCGGAAGTCGAAGCAATAAAACCGACGGTCGTTTTGTTTACAGTTTCTCTGTTTGGCTCTCGCGTATGCTGTTACGCCTGTCATCTTAAATTAAGAATGTTTATACATACACGATTTTCAGTTGCCTCTGATACGTAGGTATACGTGAGTAAATTGTTTCGTTATTTTATTGATTATTACAAATCAAAATTCAAACGACCCAATTCATTTTCCCGAAAATTTGAGAATATAATAATTTTATTCTTAGTATTGCACTGCATCTATCCCAACTGATATACGTGTCCTTGCAAAAATGTTGATGACGTCATCGCATTTTTTTTTTAAATTCCCACTACAAAAATGTAATGAGAAAAAAAAAATACAATAGGCATGCAGTCGTCAAGTTTCCGACAGCGAGGGAAGTACTGTCTAAACTCTTTAGACCAATTTTTCCTATGGTACCTCAGTCTGAGTAATATTTTACGATGTTTCCCGTCGACGACTGAGCTATTTGGAACAAATCTGCACTTTTTCTTATCAATTTTCCCTTGCAGTACTGCGAAATTATTATGTTCAGAACTTTTACTAAAACTAGCACACCGCTAGTTTATTACTATTTTTTTCTAAATAAAACCAACACTAGTATGAAATGCTACGATCCCTATAATAATGGCAGCGTTTTAAATATTTGTCTGGTTGATTCCCCATCACTTCCGCTGTGCCTAACTCTGTTTATTACAGACCATATTTATTTTTCAACTTAATTGTTAGGACACCTCAGTTGGGTTCAAAATTTCAGGATTTATGTATTTTATATCGAAATTTATAGTATCATTATTCATTAGTCATATGAGATATGGATTGGAGCTTCTGAGGTCTTTATGTGTTCGAAGACTATGGCCCATGAAAATTTTAATCTGTTATTAATTC